TAATAAGCTTGTAGCACCAAAGTAGCATCAGCGGTACTTAGTGTCTGCCCCATATTCTGTACCCAGATAGGACCACTGTTAAACCAGAGGTCATCATCAATGAGGACTTTAAAGCTGCCATCAGACTTATTGACATCAATGTTCAAGGCACCAATCGAGCCTCCAGTTAGCAGTGAAAGTAGTAAAAATGACAACGTAAAACACTTCATGTTTAGCTTCATGTACTGCACTCCACCCAAAATGTTAGTGTCATGAATTCAATAAATTATTCATACTGTCAATTTAATTGGACACACTAAGTATGCAGGACAAAGGTGCTAGTTTTTTTGTTGCATGGTCTAAGAGAGAAGAAAGTAGATGAGGAATAAGTATAACTTATCAATGGAATAGTCCATGCTCCATAGTCTAGATCTCATGTAGCCAGACCACACCAGATATGACCATAGATATGAACACAACCTCCTAGGAATGATGCATTTATACAATCACTTCTTTTAAAACTTACCTCATCAAACTAGCAGTCAATACTTTTCAACAACAATTAATGTCCTTATTCTATCACTCATTTTATGTTTGTGTCATTTTCTTTTCCTAGAAAAAAACAAAAATTATTTTGCCAAAGGCTAAGTAGCCATTTTATTAAATAGGCGTGGCTAAAATTTGATTGGTCCATTTTTAATCAAGCCACGCCCTTTGTTTTCAGCGCCAAAGAAGGAGCAGCCATGTTTGATGGATTGAGGTCTCGAGGTGGCATAGATGGCTCTAAAAGAGGTCCCTATCAACCCTTTGGAGTGGCTTGGCGACAAATAAAAGAGTTACGTTTATCTTATGACAAGAGAATCAAGGAAGAGATAGACACAGCTTTGCTTAAGGCTTGCTCTAAGCATAAACTACGAGTCAGGTAAGTTATTCAAAATATAATAAATAATGTGTAAATGTTACACTATTTTTATGTTTATACAACACTCGATTTTTATTAACGTTTAGTCGGAGCACTGTTGATAATTCTTTTATGGTACGTTCAAAAGCGAATGCTGTCAATGAAGAAGATGATGATCAAATTGATGGTGTGAGTGAAAGTCAGTGTATTCAAATGGTGACTCGTGCAAGTCTAAAGGATCAAATACTAGTGGAGGAGAAGGAAGAGAGCCAACTAGAAAATGAAGCACTAAATTGTACGTATGTCGTCAAGAAATCACCACCACTCAACCTTTCCAAACCTTCTACATTACCAGCAGCGGCTGTGTGTAGTGTTAATGCAGAACAACCTCATGTTGCCTCTAATGACAGTGATATGTACACGCATGTCATACCCAAGTTATTGCCACCTCCTAACCTTTTCAAACCTTCTAATTCGACTTCTATGTGTACGAGATCCAAGGGCATTAAATCCCCTGATACAGAACAGTCTAATGATGTACATGTATATGCTCTACCCAAGTTATTGTCACCTGAGTCACCTCCGCTTTCGAAACCTAAATCGACTTCCATGTGTACCAGATCCAAAGGCGTTACATCTCCTGATACGGAGCAGTCTAATGATACGTATGTTATACCTACAGCATCACCTAGTCCTAAATCATTCACTATGCATACCAGATCCATGGGGACTAAATCTCCCGATACAGGACAGTCTAATGCTGGTGATACTGATGAGAATGAGCTCTTTCATACTCCTCCTGAGAAACACGCTCGATCATCATCGGCTGAGCTATGCACTGATATACCTACCAAGATACCTGCTACTAATGATGAAGATGGCGTCCCTACCATTTATATGCAGAGTAGTACTCATCCTGAAAAGGTCTGCTTGTTTAGTTTTGATTTTCGATATGTATATATATATATTTTTGCTCTTGATTATTAGGATGATAGGTTTACTGCTCTTGTAAGAAACTCGCCAGTAAAAGCTGTTGAAGCTCATGAAGTAATTAGGAATGAAGTTTTTGTTTTTATTTTTTTTTTCTCTTTAGTTAAGGACAAAACTTCTTAAAGATAAGATTAATCAAAAGTTGGAGAGAGAAGAATCAAGGAGACGTGAATTGGAAGCAAAAAAAGAGCAAGACAGGCTGGACAGGATTAAGCGTAGAGAAGAAAGACTTCAAAAAGTAGCAGCAAACAAAGCAGCTTTGTTGAAGAAAGCGAATGAGAAAAAGAGAAAAATTGAAGCAAGCAAAGATGAAGTAAGACGCATTGCATGAAGATTGTTTTCCATTTCCTTTGCAGGCACCTCCTAGTAAGACTATAGCTGCTAGCAAGACTGAAGATAAGGGACAGAAAAATAAGCTACGGCATCAAGCAGCAGAGCAAAGGAGAAAAGAGAAAGAAAGGGAGAATGAGTTAAAGCAACATGCTATTGAAAGTATAGCAAAACTCTCAATTTTCCTTCCTATATGCTATTAAATATTTAGAGGAGAAACAATTGCAGGAAGAGTTGCAGCGTAAGAGAATGGAAATGAAAGAACAAATAAGACTAAAGAAGCAGTTAGGTAAAGATGAACACAAGAAACCTGTTGTTCCTGCTGTTACTACGTGCACCACCATCAGTACTGCTTCGCAATCGATACCGTAAGTGTTATTTTGTTGAACGATAATATTTCTAATATTTCTTTTAGTCTAGCAACTACATGTACATCTCATTATACTACACCTTTGAATAAATGTATTACTACGACTACATCTACATGTGCTTCTTCCTATCAAATTACTCCGATGAGTCAGGTACAGTGGATATGTTATTTTTTCATAGGTTTCTTTTGCAATTTTTTGTCCGGGCTGCTAATTTTGGGCATAATATAGTTGGCTGTTTTCATTTTTAAGACCAAGGGTACATGTACATGTAGATTGGCCAAACTAAGATGATTTTGCTGCCAAGTCTGCAATCATAATGACATTACCAATATTCTGTGCACGAGCTTAGTAATTTTATAATTTCTCCGCATAAAATAAACTGGTTGTTTGTTTGTCGCAATTTTTTTGTTGCAAAATAGTTGTCATGAAATGATTCTTTTAATCTTTCAGGATCCATTACTGGTCGCTGATAATAATTACGACATTGCTGAGCTAAGCAGTGACGACAGTTCTGATGATGAAGATTGTCCCAAGAAGACTGTTCCTATGTGGGCAGCTCCAATGAATCTCAACAGAATCATATCAGAGCAAGAGCGCACTGATCATGACATTGACAGCATCTTTCCTCCTACTGATTTGCTACAGTCGCCTAATCTAGGGAAAATATTTGGTTTCTCTAAGAGGAGGTTTTTGAAGCGTACCAGTTCGGCACAGTGGACTTCACCTATGCTTAAAAAAACTCGTCCTCTTACTGAAAATAACAATTCATCTTGAAATTTTAGTATTTAATAACATAATATCATACTCACTACTAAATTAACGTTTGAATGAATTTTAATGTAGCTGTTCTCTTGCAAACGTGATATTCTAAGGTTCGTAACAAATGGGACATTAACATGTCCTTGTCATATATCTATATTAAAATCTGTTAATATTATTCTTTAATTTATATTTGGCTTTGACTGGGAGTGGTTGGAATATGGATGATGATCAAACAATGAAAGGTCAACCTCTAGATCCCCGTAGAAAGGCTAAGTACAATGTTATATCAAGAGGTTTCTTTTGGTTAGTATCTTACTTCTCCTTTGCCTTCCTTTCAAATACTTTTAGTTGGATAGATCCTCTCTTCTGGCTGGGTTGTAGGAGAAGTCTTGAGTTCAGTGATCTCTATGTGCATCCTCCTGAAGCAGACTCCTTTTATCTCCTTAACAAGTTTAACAAGTAAATATAATGATTTCCAATAAGATTAATTTTGTCACAATTTGCTGTTTTGTTTAAGATATTGGGCAACTGAGCTGCAAAGGAAGAAGAGAGGGATGTCACCTCGACTGCTGGTGGCTTGGTTTAAGTGTTTTTGGTGGAGAATATTGCTTCATGGCTTATTCTTATTTGGAGAGGTCAGTCGCATAATTTTAAGAAGTATTGACCCAATTTCAATCTCAAAAAAACTAATTTGCTTAATTTCTGTTATTTGTGTTGTTCATTCATAAATTTGTTGTATCTGTAGGTTTCAGGTTTTGTTTGTCAATCAGAGCTGATAGGATCTCTCGCTGAGTATTTGGTGCTGGATTCACCCTCAGAAGCTGAAACCCGTGATGCCTATCTTTATGCATTTGGTCTTACCTTATTGTCTTTTTTCATCGTCTTCATTCATGCTATTGCCTTCTACTATGGTCATATATTGGGGATGCATACAAGGATCGTGTTTTCATCAGCCCTTTATCAAAAAGTAAGTTTGTAACCACTTACCAGCTGTTACTTTCTTCAATTAGATTCTTCACCTCAGTCAAGTTACTGTTGGCCAGCAAACACTGGGTCATATTGTTAACCTGGCATCTAATGACATTCACAAGTTTGATCTTGTAAGTTTTCAATTGTTTTTCTTATTATTATCTTGATATACTAGGGATTGCTATTTCCTCACTTCTTGTGGATTGCTCCCATACATGTAATAGTGGTAACCTACCTTTTATATCTTGAAATCCAGTCGAGTGCATTTGTAGCTACTGCACTACTATTCCTTCAAGTTCCATTGCAGTTAATTCTTGCTTATATTTTTGGGAAATTAAGGTTGTAGAATTTGTATCTTACGTAAAGAATTGTGATACTGTCTTCCAATGCAATGTAGATTAAAGGCAGCTAAAATGACTGATAGAAGAGTAAAGGTCATGAATGAGGTTATCAGTGGAATCAGAGTCATTAAGATGTATGCATGGGAATATGC